ATTAAGAGTAGTATATATTATAGTATTAATGTATAGATTATATATACATATATATATGTATATATATATATATATGTGTGTGTGTGTGTGTGTGTGTATATATAAATGTGTATATATATATATATATTTGTCTGGGTCTGGGTCTGTGTGTCTGTGAAAATGTATATATATATATATATATATATATAAGCATACTATCATTGGCGTCTGCACACTTGTCTAGTATACATACAGTGATGTAGGGAAAATTGCGAATAAGTTTGTTGGCCATTTTTTCACCGGCACAAATATGTATAAGCTCTCATGTGTATGTATGTTCTATTGGTCTCTGCAATTGACAGTGTACAGGTTCCTTGTCAGGCCTATTTAAATACTTACATATATGCCTCGAAACTTGTGCATATATTTGGTGTGTGTTAGTTGAGACTACTTAAAGGCACGTATACCTATATTGAGATATACATGTTTCTGTTCGACAACTAATTGCTGGTTGCGGTCGTATAAAATTGTATGAATAAGCGTTAAAACGTTTGAGATATATGTGTATATGTATATATATATGTATATGCCCTGACATGCATGGTCGAATGCACCTCCCTACAGACATACTAGTCCTTTCGTATTCCAACGTACTGTCGAATGCCCATTGAATGACCTCAATTACCTGCGCATAGGCGCACAACATCTTATTACGTGCAGTGGGAGTGCATGTGTTTACGGTCGCAAGACATGGACCATCCATACACCCTCTCGCACGCATACGTTTAAAGTACAGGCTACTGGGGCATATTGGATTCTATGTATGACAAGTTTTGTAACAGGACTTTACATACACTATCGATTGAATGTTGTGTGTATACTCTCTTTTGATTGTTCTGGATCAAGTTTTTTAGCAAGCTTAGACATATATACACTCTTTCACACACGCGTCTACCGATTCCCAACCCACAGACACCTACGGCCAACACATAACTTTAAACTAGAGTTATGATTTATTCTCGGACAAGTATTATAGGAAGCTTACACATACATACACTCATACACATACACACTGATATACTCTCTCACATATACATCCACTCTCACACACATACATCCACCCTCTCTCACATAACACTCATACACATACACTCACTCACTCACATATAAATACACTCTGATATACTTTCTCACACATACATACACTCTCTCACACATACATACACTCTCTCACATAACACTCAGACGCATACACTCTCTCACTCACATATACATCCACCCTCTCTCACATAACACTCATACACATACACACACTCTCTCACATAACACTCATACACATACACACGCTCTCTCCCATAACACTCTCTCACATAACTCTCATACACATATACATAGACTCTGATATACTCTCTTACACATACATCCACTCTCTCACATATACATTCACTCTCACACACATACATCCACCCTCTCTCACATAACACTCATACACATACACACACCCAATCACATATACATCCACTCTGATATACTCTCTCACACACATACATCCAACCTCTCTCACATAACACTCATACACATACACACACCCAATCACATATACATCCACTCTGATATACTCTCTCACACATACATATCCCCCACATCCTACAGACACCGTCCGCTCACCCCCGCGAGACGAGGCATGATCACACTCGACAAAAGTGGGCTAAGCAAAGACGGGCCTTTCCGTCCGCTGACGTATGGACAAGCAGCCTCGGGCGGTCGCAGCAGTCAGACGGGTCGTATCACCGTCAGACATCGCCAGGGACGTGCACAACGCACCCTCGTGCGCACGGTAGACTTTATCCGCTCGGCTAGGCTGGATATCCCTGCTACCATTGTATGACATGACCGGAGTCCTTGTAGTTTGTGTGTGCGTGTTTGTGGACTTTATCTGCTCGGCTAGGCTGGATATCCCTGCTACCATTGTATGTCATGACTGGGGTGCTTGTAGTGTGTGTGTATGTATTTGTGGACTTTATCCGCTCGGCTAGGCTGGATATCCCTGCTACCATTGTATGACATGGCCGGGGTGCTTGTAGTGTGTGTGTGTTTGTGTCCGTGTCTGTTTCTGTGTGTGTGTGGGTCCATTTGACTGTACGGTCGTGTGTGGGGGGGGGGGTGGTTCATCAGACAGGTCGTATAGCTGTACGATATCCCCCGGGTGGTGCCCAGTGTGGGCTTCATCCGACCGACTAAGCTGGATCGGCATGTGCTCACTCACTCACTCGCGTATGAAGTAGGTATCTCACGTACTCACATGGACACTCACGCAAGTGCGTGCATATACTTGTTCGCACGTGCATATACGGTACACGTTACACTACAGTTGACTCTGCTATATTGAGAACACCCATGCACTGGATTAGCAGTCTTGGGCAGGACATCTTGAGGGAAAATGTATGCAGCACGAGCACCAGCGTGCCCACACTCAGCACCCACACACTATCTGATATATATATATTATACCATATATTATACCAGTACTCACAACACAACTCACACCCCACAGGTTCGAGTGGAGCACGATCCATCCCGCACGGGACTGTTAGCCCTGGTGAAGTATGCCAAGGAGAAGCCAGTCAGTACCACTGTGCGTGCAGACGGCACAGATATGGATGGCTTACCCCCTGGATTCTGGGGCCATTTGTACGATCCAGACGAGTTGGTGGACGATGTTTTGAACGATGTCACGCAGAAGCTGACGAGCGAGGAGGAGGAAACACCTGAAGGTGTGTGTGTATTCGATTGTGTGTGTGTGTTCGATTGCGTGTGTGTGTGGTGTGTGTATATTCGATTGTGTGTGGTGTGTGTGTATATTCGATTGCGTGTGTGTGTGTGTAGTGTGTGTATTTTCGATTGTGTGGTGTGTGTGTGTGCAGGTATGTGTGTTTTTTTGTGTGTATATATGTATGTATGTTTCTCATGGCTACATTATTATTATGTCTCCAATATACCATACATAGCAGTCGTACCTACACCATTATCAGATCTCCAATCTGTTCTAAATATAGAATTTATACCTACACTGTTCTCAACATATATAGATCTGACAGACTCCGTCGATCCCGAGGCAGAGGCTGTTGACGAGACCCCTGCCACTGCGGTGATCGCCAAAGGCCGCGCGGCTATAGCCATTGGTCGTGCTAAGAGTGAAGCTAAGATGTATAAGGACTACGCTTACATCCTGTGTCCACAGGTATGGTGGTTGTTAAGCCCTGGGAGTGTGTTGTTGGATATACAGATAAGCAAGTTTGTATCGATGTGCCTGTGTGTATAGGTATTGTTTTGGTATTCAACCTTGGCTATTACTGGTGTGTATATATGTATATATATATATGTGTGTGTATATATATATATGTGTATGTATATTATTGTTTTGTATTGTATTTTATTTGTTGCGTTGTATTATTTTTCATTATGTATATTTACTACTTAATACTTATACTTCTACTTTCACTTGTACATATGCATAGTATACATACATACATAAATACATACATACGTCTATATATACCTGTATAGGCATACATATACAATGTATCCACACACGGCATCATCTATCATCACACAGGGTGTTGCCCCTGGCATGAAGCTTGTCTCCTCTCGCTCGACCTCCGTTCCCGTATTGCCTGGGAATGCGTGTCTGATTAAGTACATGCGCGCAGGCTCTGTGATTCACAATGTGGAACTCAAACCTGGGCGAGGGGGGCAGTTAATCCGATCGGCTGGCAGCTGGGGTACTATTCTGGGCAAGGACGAGGAAAAGGGCTTTGCCGTTGTACGCATCACCAGGTAAGCATATGTGTATGTATATATGTATATAAGTGTGTGTGTGTGTGTCTGTGTGTTTTAACATACATACAGACATACAAAGATACTGATCATATACTCCATCCTCCTTCTCCAGTAAAACGCAGATGAGAGTGCGTTTGGACTGCATGGCTACCTACGGCAAAGTGTCTAATCCAGAGCATCATAACGAGGCCATTGGCTCAGCTGGACGTAACCGCCGTTTGGGAAGACGCCCCAAGGTGCGCGGTATTGCCATGAATCCCTGCGACCATCCCCATGGAGGAAAAGGTAAGCGAGTGTATCGGTAGATATATATATATATATGTATGAGTGTATTCGAACGCATGTTTATATGCATTCCCATTTCCGTGGTATTGTCTTCTGAAACGTCCTTCGGCTTGACACGGCAGGGAAAAGCCCTATTATATGCCACGCCTGAACCAGTTATCCTTTTTTTTGTCCTGACCCAATTTTGGCACTCGATGTGTCTCATTTGCACTTACAAATTATGCTATCGGGCAATCCACTCGTGTATACCGCCCCTACATTTGGATACAAAAAAATTGTCCCGGCCAAATTTTGATTTCACCCTTGCCAATGTGAAATCAGGTACTGGAAAGGTCAACGACATGACACGCTGGGGCAAACGCGGCAAGGGTTGGAAGACGGTGCGTAATCTCAAGCGCAAGAAGGGTGGTATCCATGGCAACATCATCTGGAGACACATTGCCAACAAGAAACAGGCCGGACAGGTCAAGCAGTAGGCGGGTAGAGAGATCCGCTTGGCAGGACTAGCTACCACATGTGCATATGATTAAACTTGTTAGTTGGGGATTGATTGGGCGTTGTTTCGGTGACTTTGGAAGGACGGAGGGAACTTATAGGTAGGTAGGAATTGGTATCCATGGCAACATTACTTGGAGTCACATCTCCAACAAGAATGAGCCGATTAGATCAAGCAATAGGCGAGTGCTGAACGTAGCCGAATCGGTCGGCGTGTGCATTAAATTTAATTTGATGACTACAGATTATTATTATTTGTAATGGGAACTTGTGTATAACGAGAAACCTTTATTATCAGGTAGACGGGAAGATGTATTGGGCGACTATATGATATCAAATGGCATAATAACTCATTGCAACTTATAGGAAGTTAGAAAAACAAGGTTAAAGGACTATCATCAGTAACCAGTACTACCCCCTCCTACCACTTTGTTGAGCTGTGCGAGATGTACGTGTCTGAGTGTCTTTACACTGTCTGCTATCAATAGGCTCAGTGGTACTGTACTGGCCTGAAGAGGAAAGCTTGGTAGGTAATAGTGATCCAGGTATTTTACGCGTCCTGTCCACATTCGTATGTTTTATCTCATATAGGGTGTGTAATAATATGGAGTGTGTGAATGGTGTGTGCTCTAAGATGCATTAATATTTTTGAATATATTATCTCATAAATATATTTATATCACTATTCTTGAATATATAATCTAATATAAATGCATTATTATATTTTTGAGTATATAATCTAATATAAATATATTATTACTATTTTTGATTATATAATCTATTATTAATTTATTATCACTATTTTTGAATATACAATCTAATATAAATATATTGCGCAACTTACACAGAAGACATCGTACTGTGTACTTAACTTAGTATTAATTTTTCCCCCCTCCATACACACACCGCATCTATTCAGCCCTGTAGCATCGCATAAGTCTATCTACCTCCTATCGTGAGTCATATTAAAAAAGAAGATACCACCTGACAGGCATATCATGTGTACGTGTGCATATTTGATCATCTCAGTCATGGTGTCTTGGCTCGTATTCTATTCGAGTGTTTGCTCATGTTCAGTTAGTGTGCATGTATGTTCCCATTTTGTTTCCCCTTGTGTTTATCCATGTCACATTCTAATCATGTGTTTAATCATTTTCAGCTCCTGTGTATGAATGTTCAGTCACACCCCTTGTGTTTCTTTATTTCTAGTACAAGCTTAAGTATGTCTCCCATTCTTCACATTCTAATCACATCCCGGAACTCGTCGTCCTCATCATTCGTCGCCAGCCCCCTGTCTCTCGCTCTATACACATACATATCATTCCGTTGCACGCGTATCTTAGACACTCTCCTTGTGCCGGGTGCGCTAATATATGTCTCAAACGAGTCAGTCTCTCCCATGCCGCTGAGGTGTGTCTCACTGCCGTGGCCGAAGAACCCGTCCGCTGCAGACACGGACCGCGTCAATTCTCCACGCTTGACTTGGAGTCGCGGGGGGGTGTGGGTATCGCTATAAATAGATGGGATAGAAAATAGAACGGTTGTGATTAGAGTAGAGCTTGACTTGGAGTCGGCGGGGGGG